ACATACATACATACATACATACATACATACATACATTACATACATACATACATACATACATTACATACATTACAAACATTACATACATACATACATACATACATACATACATACATACATACATACATACATACATACATACATACATACATACATACATACATACATACATACATACATACATACATACATACATACATACATACATACATACATACATACATACATAACATACATACATACATACATACATACATACATACATACATACATACATACATACATACATACATACATACATACATACATACATACATACATACATACATACATACATACATACATACATACATACATACATACATACATACATACATACATACATACATACATACATACATACATACATACATTGCATACATACATACATACATACATACATACATACATACATACATACATACATACATACATACATACATACATACATACATACATTACATACATACATACATACATACATACATACATACATTACATACATACATACATACATACATACATACATACATACATACATACATACATACATACATACATACATACATACATACATACATACATACATACATACATACATACATACATACATACATACATACATACATACATACATACATACATAAATACATACATACATACATACATACATACATACATACATACATACATACATACATACATACATACATACATACATACATACATACATACATACATACATACATACATACATACATACATACATACATACATACATACATACATACATACATACATACATACATTACATACATTACATACATACATACATACATACATACATACATACATACATACATACATATACATACATACATACATACATACATACATACATACATACATACATACATACATACATACATACATACATACATACATACATACATACATACACATACATACATACATACATACATACATACATACATACATACATACATACATACATACATACATACATACATACATACATACATACATACATACATACATACATACATACATACATACATACATACATACATACATACATACATACATACATACATACATACATACATATTACATACATACATACATACATACATACATACATACATACATACATACATACATACATACATACATACATACATACATACATACATACATACATACATACATACATACATACATTACATACATACATACATACATACATACATACATACATACATACATACATACATACATACATACATACACATACATACATACATACATACATACATACATACATACATACATACATACATACATACATACATTACATACATACATACATACATACATACATACATACATACATACATACATACATACATACATACATACATACATACATACATACATACATACATACATACATACATATTTTTCATTGGGCCCAATATGTATTCCTACAACATGTCGCTTTGTCGCCAAGCAGTCGGGCCCAGAGACAGAGCCTCTTCCAGCGTCAAGCCGTCGAAGCCTCTGTGGTGGGCCTCCGGAGCGACTTTCCGAGGGCCGTCCAGAGGTCTCATCGAATGCCGGAGTTTGAGTGTTGCCGAAACCAACGTGCCTCGTTTGGCCCCAAGCTGACTGAGCCAACGTGGAAGCGCCTCAAACACTGAACATCTGCATATGTAGTACATATCAAGTAGTTCAGCTGTAGCTCAGCTTGCGCGGCAGATACTTGCAGTCTTAAACTCCCACTCCAGTTGCCGTGTCAGGCTACGGCTCAACAAACGGGTATGGATCGCTCCGCCATGACCCGGACGTCTGGATCGGTCTGGCTCACCAGCGTTTTGGTCTAAATCGGGGGTCTGGATCGTCTGTGTGGTTTGGCCCTTGATCCGGACCTTCAATTTCTCGGTTGCTTTCTGCTCCCCCGCAAAAAGTGTAACTTTTAGTGGTTTGATGGAGAACCCATTAGTCGGCAAAAAGTTGAAGTCCCAACATCCAAGCAAAATGCACCAAAGATTCGGAGCTGAAGCCCTGTTGGCAAACTGGCGTCTTCCTTCCCTTCGTTTCCCCTTCCCAGGATCGGGGTACCTTCCCGAACTTCCAGCCCAAAGCTCGAAGCTCGAACTTCCGGCCTTTCGAAAGCGGAAGTCGAAGGCCTCGCGCCTGCGGGGCGGCAGGGCAAGATGCCCCCGAGCGCTTCAAGGCCCCGAACATCTCGAGAATGGCAAGCGGTGTGTTCGGCTCGCTCAGTGTGGCGCTCTGAGGTTAGCCTTTGCAACCCTCACAGGTGCCCTGAGGGAATGCAGGCAACAAGGACTGCTCAGACGATAAAAAACCAGGAAGGGAGGGAGGGAGAGGGAAACGAGGGGCAGAGGGACAAAGAGAGAGAGGGAGACCACCGCGCCGCGCGCGCCGCGCGCGCCCCCTGTACCCCACCCACTCTTCGGCATCAACTGACACGACACGGCGCTCCACCCTGGGCCCGCGGCGTTGCTTCCAGCCAAGCTTCCAGGCAGGTGGCCTCAGTGCGAATCAAATCTGTGCGCTGGAGACAATACGACCAATTCCCAGCTCAGCAAAGGAGAGGAAGCTTGAGTTAGCCCGTGTCAAAATCTAGTTGAGACCAAAGGAAGGCATGGAAAACATGGTATAAAGATCGAGGTTTGCCAGGGATGAATGGTGCAACAGTGGGTTCACAAGAATGGAAAATACTTCCTTGACGAACTAACTATGTCAAATACAATTGCTTCCTATGCGTGACGGAGATCTGTGAGCGTCGCGGTTGATGCATGCCTTGCTTGATACAGCTCCTTTGAACACTGCAGTGCTCTGCAAAAAGAATATGTTGTTGGTCAAGCATGCCTGTTTGCAATTGTGTGCAAAAAACCTGTTTCTAGATTTAAAAAAAAAATGCCGAAAATCAAGGCTTGTAAAACACCAAGACAAGCACTAAGCACTTGACATCTAGGCCCCCCGGCGGGATCGCCAGGGCCCAGCTTCCTGTCCTCTGCAAGCAGGGCCAACAAGTCCGCGGCCTCGTGGGGCTTCACCTCCTTGGTCTTGGAGAGGTTCAGCCTAAGCCAAAAGCGACACACGACTCCACCTTGCTGTGGAACGTCAAAACCCAACAAAAACCCCTGGTGAACGTCAAAATAGGTGGCAAATGGATGTTCATCCACCCCAGAATGGAGCCATAGGCCTGAGTCCTAATCAAAACCCGGTATTAAACTGGTCGATCCCCAGAACCATGCTTGAAGAAATAAGAAGGCGGATATCCGCAGCTATTTATGGTTGGGATTATCCCTTGCTAACCGGATCATCTACCCAGGTTTTGAGCACGTGGCTCACCTCAGACCCTTCGCCCTTTCCCAAGTGATCAAAGTGGAAGACTCAACCCCAAACATGGCGATGCTCGGGCGCTGGACCAAACCACCCGCTGCGAGTAAATGTTTGGCATTATTTTGACCATTGAAGGGTTTTGTGTTCCTGATAAGCAACGCGTTTTGTCTGTTGGTTGCTGGCCCCTGAAGGCAGGGTGTTGGAAGCTTCGGACAGGCAGGTTTGCGCCAAATGACCACGGAAAAGTGTGTGTAGAAAGAGAGAGAGAGAGAGAGAGAGAGAGAGAGAGAGAGAGAGAGAGAGAGAGAGAGAGAGCGAGCGAGCGAGCGAGCGAGCGAGAAAGATGCGTGTGTGTGTGTGTGTCCCTACTACTATACCTTACACATATACATTAACACATGTGTCTGTCTGATTATGTATACATATAATATATATTTACACACACACGTATCTACAAGCGCACATGATTGCAGCTTTGCGTCAGCCGTGCAACATGGAAAACAGACCCTCAAGGTCCAAGCAAAAGCTACTGGGCAAACAAGCAATCTTTACAGTCCCCTGGATCCATTCAAGGAATGAGACCCACCAGGTCACAGGTCCAGGTGAATATCGGAGAATCAATACTGCAGGCGCCGCAAGCATTGCCAAACACTCCTCCTATTCATATTATAAACAAGACACCACCAGCCACCCGCCAAAAAAAAAAAGACCACCCCCCCCCCCCCCTCCCTGAGCGATCGCGCGGGCTCCGGGTTTCTCGGCTCCCTGCCCAAGTGCACGGGCCACCACAAAGTGGTGCCACGAGTCCACATGCTCCACCTGTGGCTAAAACCCCCGGATTCATATACCGCGTCCTTTAAATATGAAAGGTGGGAGCCCAGAAAAGACAGAGGTCGGCTTCTCCACTTTTCCGAAAGGACACCCCCGTTTCACTGATCCCACGGCTGTCTGTTTTCACAGCAACTGTTCATCTTGCTCAAATAATGAGGAATGGAATGACCCCAAGTAAACCGATGGTGGTGTCTTTTAAGGAGACCTCTGGCTTCATTCCCACATTCCCTACTGAGCACCAGCAAGTCAGTTCCACATGGAAACTTCAACTGAAGCGGCCAGCACAAATGGAGCAAACAAACTCCCTTTTTTCAAGCACGCTAAGGTTCCGCCTCGCGTTCAATGTGCGGACGAAGCTACACTCAAGAAATTCACAAACTCGCAGCAAAGTCCCACCTGGCCGTCTATGACATCATCAACCCACTCGCGGTATAAGACCCAGAGCGTGATGGGGACCTGAGTCGGTTTCGAGGTCCGACAAGGCTCCCGATGAAAAAGCCACAAGTGGCATCAAAGTCGAGGAACGAAATTGGACTACCAATGTGAAATCGATGATTAATCAACCTGAATGCAGAGGTCTTTACTCCAGACGTCAAGATCCCTTCTTACATGGGGTATCCGCCCCCATTCATCAAGCAGGCCGCTTTAATCCAAGGTTTCCATTATGTGCCTTGGGGGGTTGCAGCCTCCTGACATATTGTCTCCCTGCAAACACCAAATGCCACCCACAAACACCCGCGGGTCACATGCTCAAACAAGCCCGCCCGTCTCAGCGCAAGGCACAGCGCTCTGACTTGATTGCCCTCACTAGCCTCGGCCACTGGTTGTCTGGGGTTTTGGGTTTTGGCCCCAGTCAACTTCCAAGCAAACCCCTGGCTTGAAGAGAACAAAGAGGGCCTTCACCTTGGAGAAGAAAAAAAAAAGTTTCTCCCAAAAAGAATGTCCTTCAAACCCAAGAAGCCCCTTGCTTCCGAACCGGGCCCCAAGTCAGAGATCTCCGAGCCCGCGGACGCGGACGCTGCCACCCAGCCACCCAGCTCCAAGCCCCGGGCCAGGCATGCTCGGCAGCCGCCCCTTCCTTGTGGGTGAAGTCCTGCGTCGGTCCAAAGGGGCACTTTCGGATGAACAGTTGGAGGAGGTTGAGGAGGTGGTGGCTGGTGGAAAGTTGGAGGAGGTTTCAAACAGGTGTGATTGAAAGCCAAACCACCTGTAACATGCCCCGTCTCTTTTACCAAAAAAGAGCCTTGAATGGATGGACGGTTGAAAAGTCCATCAATACTATCCTTTTTCAGCTTCCCTGTGTCCACAGACCACAATGCACCGGCAAGCTTCCGCTGATAATTCAACAAACCTTCAAACTGCTCGTCCAACAAACACATGTTAGCAAGGTTGTGAGCAAGTGCGAAAGGCATTTCACTTGCCAACTTCTCCTTGGCCGCTTTCAAAAACTGAATCCTGGAAAGCAGCCAACCAGCCACGGGCCAACAGCCGGAGATTTTTTTGGGGGCGAGTCCCAAAAATCCGCCCAGCGCCTGCGCAGGCAGGTTGGCGAGCTGCACCAGTCTCAGGCGTCGCTCGGGCCTGGGCACGGCTGTGGAGGGGAGCGTCGGGAGGCACCCCGACACATCCCAAGAAGACGTGATATGAAACTTGTGTGCGTGTGTGTGTGTGGACCCTGGATCTCTACTTTCTTGGGATTGCTTGAAACACACCTCCCCAAAAAAGACCCACCTAAAGCGACTTGACGGATGTCTGCATTTTCAGGAACTGCCCACGGTTCTGGGACCCGGTCGCGGCTGAAACCGGCGCGGCCGAAGCCGGCCGCTGCTCACGGGCAGGGGGGCAGAAGCAGGACACAACCTGACGCCCGCGTGTAATGATGCAACCCTTGAAATGGGGTGATTTCAAGCGATTTCTCTCTGAAATTGGTGTTTAAACCACCCCAATTCAGGGTGCATTCAGAGGAAAAAACACGCCGACTTTTCCGGCGATTCGGTGATGCCACTGCTCCCAGTGAATAATGCTGCACTTTGCAAGCAGCAAATCAAGGACATGAAGGGGGAAAGCAACAGAAGCCAGTGAAAGTTCTATGACCAAGCTATGCAAGGGTTCACATGGCACAAGTTGCTTACACGCACAACGGCTACGCTCCTTTTGACAACATGTATGAAACACAAGGTGACTTGCCCCGCCTTGCTCAACGCCTGCATGCCGGGCTAGACATGCACTCCCGGCTGAATTGAAGGCTGCCAACGGTATTCTCGAGCTGCCCAGTTGCACACTATGTGAGTGATGCAGCTGATGCAGCTTGTCTGCGTGTTCTTGGCAAAAGCCTCGAGCCAAAATAGAACACCGCCAAATGATCACCCATGCTCTTGATGTCGTTCGAGTCATGTGGGTGCGTCTTTAAAAGAATCTAACCGAAATCGGTTGGTTTCCTTTGGGTTTCCCTTTAGACTCCTTCACAACAACATATTTCAGCCGCTTAGCACAACCCTCATTTGGTGGCCACCGCACATGTGCCGCTGACAAACTCCCTCATTCCAAAAGGCCACTGCTCCTGTGCCTGACCCATCTCGTGCCCTCGTGCCCATCCATCACCCATCACTCGGTGTTGCTTTCGCCTTTTGACTTGAGAAACGCCCTTCTTCGCATTGTTTCTGGCCGTCTGTACATACTCGACCTAGCGTCTGTCTGCCATTGCAGATGCGCCCACTCACAGGAGTCTTTCACAACTCCAATGGAAAGGCCACCCAGGCCAGGTACGGAAGGGTCCGACACCGGGCAGTAATCATTTCAGATCCTTGCACCAACCCAGAAGACGAGTTCAGATTGATCAACTACTCAATCTTACATGGCCCACCGGCTTCATGCCCCCATACAAAAAAACATGCCGGTGTCAAAACCCATCTTCAGCTCAAAGGCTGTTGGCAGCACCTTGGACGTTCACGCCGACAGGATTGCTGAGCTAGGCTAGGCATTTAGCTAAGTGCTTTGTGGGTGCGCACAACATAAACCAAAATTATGCAATTCTTGTAGGACAGGGCGTGCTCATCTCCAAACTCCCCCATCTTTCATTTCCCTTGTACCCACAGACAAAAATATGTATGATTTTTGAAAAGGTGGAAATTGTAGGCCAATTCCAGCACGAGTAGCAATACTTCCTCTGCTCCATGCCGCCTCTACCCTCCTTCACTTTGGATTTCCAAGAAATTGCAGCAGTGCTGGCAAGCAGCATCTGCTACGCAGCGGCCGCAGGCCGCCCGTCTGCATCATTTGCCTGGAATGATGCAAAGATTCCAAGCAGAAGGTGGTTTGCCCGCTATGTCTGAGGAGCCCCGCTGCCAGTTGAACGAACTCAAGGAATCATCAGAGTTCGCCTAACCTCGGATCAAGTTTGTGAATGTTGATTCAGCACAACGCAGCAAAACCCACCTCAGCCGCCGCCGCCGCAGAATGGAGGGGATCCGTTCAACTGTGTGTTGGAAGAGCCTCCTCCCAGGAATTCGCAACTTGCAAAATGAGGAACCTTCCCTTTGATTGCAAAGAGAACACCGCCGTTGTCCTGGTGTTTGCATGCCATCCAAAATTCGCTTCAAGCCCATAGCCATGCGAAATGCTGTGCATCTCCTGGGTTGATGGTCTTGACCCTCGACTTGCCCTCTACGCGCTTGCTGCCACCTGGAACACCACGGTGAGGCAAACAAAGTGGCAGTGGACTGGCGAGCCTTCAGATGGCTTGAACATGGTCTGGAAGAAGAGCACGAAGAAGGACACCACCTCTGGCGCGAATGTGGCAACTGCCAAAGAATGGATTTCTCAGATGCCAAACCGAACCAAGCCATAAGGAAACTTTGCGGCAAAAGACAAAATCATGGCGCGAGTTGGCAAGGGCCCTGGCCGACCAGAAGAAGCCGGCCACGACGTCCAGGGGCCCTTTCGCCCTGGCAGCTGCGGGGCTTTCGCTTCTTCCGGCGCCACGCGTCCACTCCGGCCCCGGCCTCTTCTGCCCGGCCGAGCCGGCCGAGCCGACCACCTGTCCGTTCACAATGCGCACCATTGCGACCTCAGGTCCCCGCGCTTGGGCGCTGATCCCCCAGCAAAAAGTGTTGAACTGTTTGCTGGGTGAGAAATAAATATGTGAAAGGAATCCAAAAGTTAAAGTCAGGTCCAACCCGAGAGCGGTAGAGGCTTCTCCCGCCAAAAATGGAAGCCCCGCGCTTCAAAGAAAAGCCGCCTGAGATTGGGCGATGCCAAATGCACTCACTCAGCTCGCGGCCGACCTTTGCCGCTCGGGCAGCTGCCCTCAAATCAGGTCCTCAGGTGCTGCCTGTGTTTTGGAAAGAAGAAACTAGACTGCAAAATAGGACGAAGCATTGGAACCTGCAGCTGATGGGTTGCTTGCAATATATGATGTTTGAGCCAAACCTGCAAATCTGAATCCGGAAGAATGCTGCGCAGGGCACGCAAACAATAATATGTATGAGCTGTGTTTGATACCACCACCGGAAGGCGGCTGTGGCCCGATCACAATTGATGCATGCAGGCGCACAAACACTCGCACGCAAACAGACTCACTTTGCTCAGGCATGCTAGGCTGGCATGGTATGACTCGGCGGAGATGAGTTCTCTGTTGTTGCCGTTTTGATGAGTGAGCGCGGTGTCACATAACTTTCCATGGAGCACTTTTAGGATCTTCCCTCGAATTCATCATTTCTGTGGTATGTTGTGGATTGCCGAAGGCGTCCTCAACCGGTTTGCTCGTTCTAGGATCTCCAGGTGGAGGCTCTTGTCTCCCTGCGCAATAAATCGTGATCGTAGTACAGTGACGATCCGGTTTGTCGGTTTCTTATTCTCTGCAAGTCCATTTGTTTGCTCTTCTCATGAGCCAAGCAAATGTTTGTCTTGCCTGTCTTGCGTCGTCCTCTTCTTGGTGTTTTGCTTACTTTGTTGTTGGTTTGTCTGTTTTGTTCTTCTTGTTGTTGTTGCGTTTCCTCGGCTCCTCTTCTTTCATGTGTGTCTTTACGCTGAAGCTGCGGACCTGCGTGATCGATCGCCAAGCCAAAGAGGCATGCAACGCGCTTGCGCAGCAAACATGCATCAGTTCTCTGCGAAATTATCTTGCATTTAGCGAGCAGTAGCAGCAGAATTTCCAACAAGTATCTTCTTGACATGTGTTTTTTTTCTCTCGGCGTCTTAACCACATGTGTCATCATCGGGAAATCAGCCTTCGGCTTGGGGTCGGCGACTGCATCGTCTTGCTGGCAAGTGAGGCATGCGGGCTGCACACAAAAGGGGAGGCCGGCAGGTCGAGCCATGCTTGACGCTCCCGGTCTCGCGTAACTGTGCGACGCGCATGGAGAGCCGAACTCTGTGCGTAGCTTTGCTGCAAGCGGCTCAACAACCACTTCTGCGGGAAAAGGCGGCGCAGCTGGCACCACGGCAGTCGGCTCCATCCGAGGCAAAACATCCAAGCATTTGCCAGCCTGCTGATCAGGCTCTCTCGCCAAGATCAGAAGTGTTGCTCAGAAAAGTCGGTCAGAAACAGTGTCGCTCAGAAGTGTTGCTCAGAAGTGTCGATCAGGAAAAGTGTGGTTTAGCAGTGTTGATCACGTGTCGCTCAAAAGTGTCGCTCAGAAGTGTTAATCAGAAGCAGAAGTGTCGATCAGAAAAAGTGCTTTCCAGAAGTGTTGATCAGGTGTCGCTCAAAAGTGTCGCTCAGAAGTGTCAATCAGAAGTTGTGCTCAGACGTGTTGCTCAGAAGTCTAGTACGCGCTGGAAAATCGCAACTTTGTAGCGCAAGTCTAGTGCGCGAAGTACAGGTTTCCAGCTCTAGCTGGAAAATCGCAACTTTGTAGCGCAAGTATAGCGCGCGAAGTACAGGTTTCTGGAAAATCACAACTTTGCAAGTTTCCAGCACCAGCTGCAAAATCGCGACTTTGTGGTACAAGTCTATCACGCGAAGCGCAGGTGCGCGAAGTCCAGCTTTAGCCGGAAATCACAACCTTGTAGTACAAGCCTGGCGCACCAGCTGGAGAATCGCAACTTTCAAGTACAAGTCTGCAACTTTGAAGTGCAAGAAAAGTACGCGAAGTACAGGTTTTGAGCTCCAGCTCGAAGAATCGCAACTTCGTTGTACAAGTCTAGTGCGAAAAGTGCAGGTCTTCAGCTCTTGCTGGACAATCACAGCTGTGTGCGCAACTCTAGTGCGCGAAGTACCAGCTCCGGCTGGAGATTCGCAACTTTGTAGTACAAGTCTAGCGCGCGACGCGCAGGTGTCCAGCTCCAGATTGAAAATCGTAGCCTTGTAGCAACAAGTGGAGCACGCAAAGTACAGTTTTACAAGCTGAAAACATCAGAGCGTTGGCAAATGCGTGTCGTGCAAAACTGCTTCGCTCCGTTGCTCCGTCGCTCCGCTCCGTTCCCCCGTTGCGCCGCCAAAACTGTTTCGCTCCGTTGCTCCGTTGCTCCGCTCCGTTCCCCCGTTGCTCCGCAAAACTATTTCGCTCCGTTGCTCCGTTGCTCCGCTCCGTCCATTGCTCCGTTGCTCCGCTCCGTTCCGTAGTGGCCTATGTTCACAGTGATGGCAGCAGCGACCGCTTCACCCTTGGACGGCTGATGACAGTGCAAGAAAGCAAGCTGGCAAACGTACGGTTTGAGTTTGTAGTTGCCAAAGTGTGGGCGTCTTCCATTGAGTTTTCTGAGCAACACTTTTGATCGACACTTCTGAGCAACACTTACTTTGATCCGCACTTTTGATTGACACTTCTGATCGACAGTTTGAGCAACACTGCTGAAACACACTTTTGATTGACACTGATGAGCAACACTTCTGATCCACACTTCTCATCGACAGTTCTAAGCAACACTTCTGACCAACACTTCTGATCCACACTGCTCATCGACACTTCTGAGCAAAACTGCTGAATTGACACGCTTCTGAGCAACACTTCTGATCAACACTTCTGATGGACACTTTTGAGGAACCCTTCTCATCGACACTTCTGAGCAACACTTCCGACCCACACTTCTCATTGACACTTCTGAGCCACACTTTTGAGCGACACCTGACACTTCTGAACCAAACCGTTAAGGCATGTCGCACTGCTCCTAGCTTGAACCCAAACATGAAACCTCAAAAGAACAAAGCTCGTCCGAAGCGGCCGCAGTTCTTTTTACCGGGATTGAAAGTTGCACTGCTTCCAGGGCACTAGTGCGCCTGGAGCAGGAGGCACATTGACCCCCCGAAATGTGAAAAGGCAAGACAATGCGTGTCCTTGCGTGTAAATGCAGTGCTTGGGGGGCGCGGCATGCGTGCCCACGCCCCAAGGTCCGGAGACCTACAGTCCGGAGACTCGAGGTCCGGAGACCGAAATTGGTCCGGAGACCTGACCCGCGAAAGTGCAGAGAAACTGCTGACTATCCTGGCAAAGCCTGGCATAGGGCAGTGCAGGGCGGGTGGGTGGGTTTCAGAAGTGAAACCGCAGGTTTGGGTCAAGGCTAGGAGCAAAACGGCCAACGCATAGTTCGATTCACCACATGCCCTAAACACAAGGGAAAAGAAACCCTAAGCGTTAAGGCATGTCGCACTGCTCCTAGCTTGAACCCAAACATGAAACCTCAAAAGAACAAAGCTCGTCCGAAGCGGCCGCAGTTCTTTTTACCGGGATTGCTGAAAGTTGCACTGCTTCCAGGGCACTAGTGCGCCTGGAGCAGGAGGCACATTGACCCCCCCTTCAGTGATTCAGGCCCCGGTAAAAGCGAACCCGCTGGGCCGAAGGCCTCATCACCCGCCCTTCAGAGTGGGGTTGTACCTGGCAGGGCAGATGCTAGCGTCACCACGCACGCTGGGTTGTGAACAGCTTGGCGTGCGGTGACTGCGCTTTTTCCTGGTCAGAGCGGCTTGAGTAAGCGGCTGGCTGACATCGCCAGTTGTTCTGGCTGAGAGGGCAACGGCGGATATTGGGTCAGAAGGCCATGTCGGATGCAGGCTAGGCTGGTGCAGCGACGACGGAGGCTGCTGCCAAATGTTCCAGACGCCAGGGCGCATGCATCGGACACAGGTGAATGCCACGGCCTGACCTCGCTAGGCTTGCAGGGCTGAAGCGTATGCGACTTTCAGGGCGATGGCTGAACCGGGCCAACCGACCTCTGCTGAGATCGTCCGCCCAATCATTGCACCTTCCTGGAACGTGCGTCGGCTGCAGCAGCACGTTGTGAGCGTGAGCCCAGAAGGCTGTTAATTGCACAAAAAGTTGCAACGGCCAGGAGGTCGTGAACAGTTTGTTAAGGCTTGCTTCCGTGGCGGAATTATCTGTGCCGGAAGGCATGCTAAACGAGTAGTGCCCACCACCAATGTGGCTGTGGGTTGCTTGCAGCAGTGCTAACTGTGCAAGAGTTTCAAAGCATGCGATGTACCGTTGTCCTGGCTTGACAAGGCAAGGCCAGACGGCTCTTATGTCTTGCATGTTCCAAGTCTCGGCGAACCACACCACTTGGGAGGATGTGATTGCAGCCCCCAATCCCCACCACCTCATCTTCGGCACACGCGTCGGCGGCAGCCAGAGCTTGCAGCTGGCGTGGCCGCGCCAAAGGCTGGATGGGCGAGTGTCGAAAGCACGACGCCAGCCAAGTAAGGCACTGTTGGCTTGACTTGGAAAGGCTGGTGTATGGGTTGTTGGGGTCTGCGATGCGCACCCATGTGGGCTTGCTAGTGCCAGGCACTTGCGGAATGTCTTGAGGGCAATGCATGGTGCGGCCTGAAATTTCCAAGATTTTGGAGCCCGCTGTGATCCACAAGCCCGGGAGGCTATGGCTAGTTTTGAGGTCCTTAGTCACGGATGCTCGAAAGGCTGACCACATTTGCGGCGGTGTTGAGTGCATGGAGCCCGGTGGGCTGTTGAGGTCCGCGTAAAGCGGTGCTAGCCAGGACCTGAGGTGTAGGGCAATGCTGGTGGCCCAAATAAGCAGGCCTATGCACTGCTCGAGTGTTTTGCGGGGCACACGTCGATTTCCCAACAGGGATTTGATCAAGGCGTCCAGCTTGGCTAGCTTAGCGGA